AAGAGTTCGGGTCCGGTTTTGAGTACCAACGTTTCCCGATTCACGCAGTATGAATTTCCAGTTCTGGACCAAATTCTTGCTTACCTGTCTTTGCTTCCAAGGAGTCCATCTCGAGCTCCTCCGGCTCTGGAAATGACAGCGGTTCTCGACCCGCGCAGGTGCTCGGTCTTTTGTGAGACATGACTTGCTCGAAGCATTCAACCAAGCCGTTCACGAACACGACCTGGTCTTCCGGCTCGCGCTCTTCGTAGTGCTTCGTGACCTTGAACACCTCCTGCCTCCTCCTGGTGTCCTCCCTCAGAAACGGAATGTCCCACGTGATGGCGCGGCGCTCCATGTAAACACCTTCTCGGGCCTCCTCGCAGCACGGCGAGTCACGCACGTCGTCCGTGGTGCAGGTGACAGGCTGGATGGGAATGATGTCGTAGGTGTTTGGGTCGTAGTCTAGGCGATCATCGCACTTGTCACAAGGGAACGGCTCCTCGGGGCGTGTGTTTCGGAACAGATAGGACCGTTCCTCCGTCAATTGGAACTGAGTTACAATAGACTGTCCAAAGCATGACAGTCGGACAAGCATCACTATGTAACCGACGTATTCACCATCGAGATTGACAAGGTCGTATGCATCCTTTACCGTGCTAGAAATGGGGAGAATTTGTTCGCATTCGTTGACCCGTCGAACTGTGTCACACACCTGCAAACATCAACTCTATTAAACAATCTGTATTGTGAATACTACTAAAAATGTTTAAGTCTTACCAACGAATTCAGGTGTTCTTTAGTAATTTGCCAAATTCGTAAATGAATAAAATCAATTTAATAACATTTTATTTTGTAAAATATAAAATAATCTTAAATTGTTCCCTTTATGACATTTTAACGTCCTTAGAATGTTTGATAAAAATAAATTAATAATAATTTTTAAAGTGAAATGAAACGTTGAAATTCACAGTATGAATGTTTTACTCAGTGTTTTCCAAATTCATAGTGAAAACCAAGAGCATACTTGTGAAAGTGTTCTTTAGGCCGTAAAGTGATGCTTTCAAAAAAAAAGAAAATTGTTATGCTTATAAATCTTAAATTTAAACTATGCAAGATACTTATTTAATCAAAGTTTTATAATTTCACGGCTCCATTACAAGTCTATGATTATGATTATTCCCAGGAACTCGGCAGATGATGTTTTTTCAATGTCTGAAATGACCACCCACTCATACTGGCTTTGGAAACCAAAATCTATATCCAAGCGTTTGAACTTGATCAGTAGGGACATCTGTCCCACTCGTGGGTACTAGAGCAACGCGTATATTGTTGAAAGAATTGTGAATTGTTTAATTTAATTTCAATTTTTTGAAAACAATTTCACATTTTCTTCGATTTTAAGAAATACTTTTTATAAACTTTTGTAGATTGTTTATTGACTTTTTGCATCAATGTTCAGGGAGTCTCAAATAAAATTTATAAATATATTTTTTTATTTTTTTAAATGATACATGTCAAGTAGTATTGGATCACTCAGATAATGTCTATAGTGGAGCACGAATGTATAATAGTAATTCTACTACATGGCACACACGTTCTCATATTATATGTAACGGATGTAAAACTTATAATCATTATTGGAATAATATTGCAAATTATGTACTCGTAGTCGTATATTTCAGCAGCCGTGTGGAGTTCTCTATCAAGTTTCTTGAAACACAGTACATTATATAGACCCCCTAACCTAACTACGAAGAAAATATTACATTAGGATAGAAATGATTATGAAAGAATTTAAGAAGATCAATGAAAGAAAACCATTGTTTTAAAAGAAGTTGATGAGAGAAAAAGTCGGGAAGCCTTGATTTAAGCCAATGCTTTGCCAGCAGTCGCGCCAGTGACTTCGTGTGACGTAGTACCTGTTGGAAAACTCGCATTGAGCCTGGGAACTTGACAAAGCGCGGCTGCCCGGCTGGAGACAGGGGCCAGCTCGAGTAAAAATCTCTACACGCATTTACGCCTTCAAAAGCAATATGCATCGTGTATGTATGTGGATGTATCGTGGAAACACAGCTAACCCCTACTAACCCCAAGGGCAAAAATCACAAAAGATATCTTCACAAAATCAAAAGAGATTATTTCTTTTCGATTTGAAAAAGAATGTTTGTTCGTCCCATTTCACAAGCAGAGCAGGAGCGACGACAGCAACAATACTAATAAAACGTTACTACAAAAAATAACTGATGTTTACAGTCTCTCACGCTCACATGCGTACGCAGAATGAAGCAAAATGACTCCGCAAATAAGCATTACGAACACTGCATGCAAACACTTACACTTGACGTGTTCTCATCCAGAGCACAGAGATCAACAAAAAATCCGAGGTTGTCAATGTTTCCACAAAAGAAAATTCACCCATCAGATGTATATCTTAAATCTTCAAACCTAATATCAAATAAAACTAGTTTTGTCTAACTTCCTAAACAATGCATTCAATAATCAAAAATATATTGAAATTCTGTTAATTTAATAACGCGTAAATTAGGATGCTTGTATACGGTAATACTTAGAAGTCTGGTATATTTAGAACTGGTATTCCCCAAGTCGCTCAAGCGCAGCAGGCGATGGGATTACCAACGCTCCACGCTGACAACCTGTGGCACTTTCAATGTATCGTTGTATGTCGTCGTCAATGTATCGTTGTATCGTTGTATGCACTATCAATGTATCGTTGTTGTGTTCAATGTATCGTGTAAACCGCGAATGACCGAATTCTTGCAATGTTAACGCAAACAGATTCGCGACCAGTCGTCAGATTCGTACTTAGTGATGTTAAACACGAAACACGAGCACATCTGTAAGACACTGGCGTCACATTCACGCTGTGACACAATTGCAACTAGACACAAAAGTCACTGCTCGACGGGCGCCCTTTGATTTCAAAATTATTTCTTACATTGATTTTTATACAATATCACAATTATTACATGATATTAGGAACTTTGCATTTCGTAGCGTACAGCAATCGACAGCAGTATTTCGACCACTCTATACCACTTTTGAGCATCTGAACTGTGCATTCGCAGAACGTCGATATTGCTATGTTTAATGTCCGTTGAGATTTATGGAAACATATATTCCTAACATTCGATATGTATGTTTACGATGCCGGTTGTAAAATCGGGCAATCTGAGTCATAAGCTTCGAGATTGTCTTACACATTACACCACCAAGTGCTGCTGACGTAAATGAATGCTCTTGGTGCATCAAAAAAACAGACGTTTTGCAATCTGCGAAATTTAACAGATTTAATTGAAATTCGAGCCTATACCATGTTATTAAGCAAATTTTATTATATTTCAGAAAAAAAAAATAAATAAGGAATCTGGATTCATTTATCAAAAAATATTATTTTAGCCTTATTATAAAGTTGTCACTATTTACTCAAAATTGCAAGAAAACTTTTTGAAAAAATGTCCATGAAATAATTTAAAGATGAAATTTAGAAGTGTGGATTTAATTGAGAAACAATACTTTATCTTGAATGAAAAACTAAAGTAAAAAAAATCGCAATTTCAAGTTTTTCGAAAATAAGACCTATTCCATTTCAATCGGAGTACTTTTTCCTATTCGAAAAAATAAGAAAAATTGGCAAGCTTTTTAAAGGAAATTTCGAAAACGAACTGGAGGCTTCATGTAAAATATACCACAAAACTAAAATATCCTTTTCTAATTCGCAGTTCCTCCACTGCGACCTGACCAATTAAAGAATATCCAGTTTTGATAACTTTCTTCGATTCATTTTTCAAACACTATATTTTAATATATTTTCATCCAAATTCTGCAGATTATAAATTTACAAACTAAATTGCAAAACTTTTCATGCAAATGATATACATTATAACATTATACGTTACCTCGTCAATTCCCAAACAAATTTGTGTGACGCCCAAAACATTCATAAAGTCTTCTTCGGAAGGTTTCAATAGAACTGTTACAGCGAGTGGGTAATGTTTGAGACCGCGTATCAAATCATAGGGCGACATTGGGAACAGAAAAGATTTCCCCGTGCCAAAATGCCCCGGGTCCGTTTCCAACTTCTTCTTCAATTCTTCATCCTTCGGTTTGGCCGCTTCCGTGTCGGAGAACTCCTTCTGGTTTATTTCCACGCAAGGAAAATTGATGAATTTCACTCGAACTCGAAGTGGAATTGGACGTCCATTAGGACCAGAACGGGCATTAGGACAAGCACAATCTTTATCACATGCTTGACAGACACGTAAATGTACTTTATGAACAAGTATCTCTATTAAAAAAAGTTGTTCTGTTAGTTTAACATTCAAAGACATTTTAAAAAATGTTCTGTAATTTCACTAAAAAAATACGAATGTCTGGGGCCTAGGACGTTCCATTAAATTCTTTAAATCTACGAAAAAAATCAAGGTTGAAGATAATTGAAATCTGGTTTCGTAGTTCACGAATAATCGCGTCGTATTCATTGATTAATTTAGCAGATTCTACCTCCCTCATCAATTTTTTAGTTAAAATGCACTTTGTTTCCGCGGAGATCAAGAATTGTTGTTATAACTCCAGGCAACAGCAATGGTTTCTTTGTAATCTTTAAACATTTGCATCCCATTTAATGAGATAAGGAATAACTACAGCTATAATTCAATTTCTTCCTTTTTAATACAAAAATAAATAGGAGAGGTTTTAAATAAAATTGCAAATTATAAATCTCTTCCATACAATTAATGTACAACAATGGTTTCACAATAATGTCTGTAAATAAAGAACTTTTTACACATAAATTCCATAATATAAACAAATCATTTCCTAATGTCCGAGAGTACAATAGATTCATAGTAACGTAACTTTGTTTCATCTTATCAATAGCATATTACAGGAATACGGTAATAAATGTGGTGACTGAACAAAGAGAAAGCAAAGTAAATAAACTTTTATAACAAGCCAAGACTTTTGCCTCGTGTCCTTCTCCGCCTCTCTCGAACGCATGCCTATTTCTTCCCCTTCTTTCCTTTCTTTCCCTTCCCCTTCTTTTCTTTGCCCCCCTTGCTCTTCTTGCCCTTGGGCTCCTCGGGCGGGGGCTCTTCGGGCTTCTTCAGCTTGGACTTCTTCCGCGCGGCCAGCAGCTCCTCCGCGGTGACGAGCGTCTCTTCGTGGTGCATGGACGGGAACTTCCACCGCGGCTGGAAGTTGGCCGGCGCCACGAACTCGATCTTGAGCGAGTCCGTGTCCTCCGAGCCCGAGCACACGCACGGCGGGCACACCGACGAGCCCGAGTACAGGGACGAGCGCGGGGCCGACGACGAGAAGCCCGACGACTCCGAGAAGTCCCCGTGCGCGCGCAGCGACGAGCCCGAGCTGGACAGCGACGACGTCGACTTGGACACCGTCAGGTCCACGGAGTACGGCCGCACCTCCGTGGAGACGGTGCGGGTGGCCGGGGGCGCGTATGGGGACTCCTTGCAACAAAACGTTGATTGCGCTCATTTAATGATGTAAGGGCGTGCTAACAGGCATTTTCACCTAACTGATATCTTTAGTTTACTAACACCGAGGATTTTTCATTTAGAAAGAAATCTAAGGTTTCTACTCAACCACATTTTGTATTGTGGCTGTACGTACTGTTCTGAATCTTCAGGACATGCATTAACACAGATTTTCTGTATTCTCTGTAAACAGGAATAGTAACGCAATGGTGGGACTTGGTAATTATTGTAGAAGAAGTATTCAATTATTTTATTTTTACGTAGAGTGCATGTTTATGTATGTTTAATGCTTGCGTTAGTGAGTGCGTTGGTTTAGTATTTAGTTGTTTTAATTTCATTAGTTTAGCTATGTGTAGTATATTTTATGCTGTAATTATTTCCAACATGTAGTTTAAATCCAATACCATTCAATCTGCAGCTGCCGCCACACACCGCCTTAGGCTTATGCCGCCACTGTATGGAAGAAAAACTTCACAGTTTTGGGGGGGTGGAAACAGGGTAAGGCAAGAGCAAGAGAGGGTGGTGTGAAAAAAATAACATTTCTTGTCTAATATATGATAGTAATTAAGAAATTCCCAGGCAACGCAGAGAACTTCAGTTTGATAACAAGACATTAAAAAATATCTTCAAATAAACTCGTGAATTTGTTTATACAGTATGTTTTTGCTCCTAAACGCATGAAGAAAGTGCAATTATTGGTGTTAGGGTGAAACATCTTTACGCAAAAATTCAGAACAACGCCATGCTCGCCAGCTATCTAATAGATGATTGTGTTAAATAAATATCCACACAATGACGGGTTTCTTAAGTTAGTTATTATTAATGATTGAGTAGTTAAAAGAATTATCTGCCCCATCTTTGAAGAGCTCCAAAATAATTCATAATAAATACCACTGCTTGAATTAGATATGTCACAAAGTGATTGGTATACTGTTTCTGGACTGTTATTTCTAAATATTTACTTAATCTAAAGCAGGTATGCCAAGTAGAAATGTGATATCGACAACAAATAATGCATTACCCGATTTTTCGAAAATTGCAAATTGAAAGTTTTCTTTGCGCAGAGACAAGGTAACACTCGCCATTTCTTCAATACTTAATGATCCTTAGGCTGAAGTATGCTAACAATCTTATTCCTTGTCATTTCAGAACTTTTCCTTGTGGCAAAGGGTTGAAGGACGTATTGCAGTTCCTTTGGTGCACCTACCATAAGAAGCTCTCGCAAAAAACTCAAGCTGTATTCGTAGCTTCAACAATGGAAGATACAATTGTGGTCACGCGAAAGAAATAAATTTAAAAAAATATTTCCAGCAAAGAAAACAGTAATTTATGAAATCAAATTGTAAGGGCCGATATTCTTAGCCAAGATAATTGGTGTGGACTCTGCTTAGCAACACTCTAATATCAGCACGATGCCCCAAATTCCCAGTATTCCCACACTTCCTCAAGATTCCATTGACTCGCTACGGCACCTACGGCACCAACTACGGACGGAATCGCGATAGCTCGCGATACAACCCATTCTAAAAACGTTTTACCTTTTGCTAAGCAGACACCTAAAACTAAAATTCGTCCTTAAACATTGCACTGGCGGTATGCATAAATTAAACGAGTTGATATCTTGAAAGTTTAATACTTTCTGCATCTTTTCAAAAGGTCACTTTTTATGGTAAGAGCGCCACCCTAGGGCCCTTAAAGCTGTGTTGTACTAGCGGTGGCGCGTACGCCCTCCTGCGCTTCGCGTAGCGGCGCCGATCGCCGCAGCGACGCAAACACGCCGCATGTGGGAAGATTCCCATTCAAACCAATGCTCTGTTACGAGTCGCGGCGTTCGGAAGCGCGCAGCCCTGGCGACGTGAGAAGGGGCTCTTAAAAGACCAGCCGCCACTGGTGTACGTAATCCCTTTCTGGATTTGGAGGGGAAGTGAGGACGGAGTCAGGGGAAGTTGTTGCGGGAGCGCAGGGCAGGCGAAATACCTCGAGCGAGGGCTTCTCCGTGCCCTCGGGCAGCGGGCGAACGCTCAAGTGGAACTTGCCGCGCCGGCGCGACAGCACCAGCGTGGGCGGCAGCTCCTTCTGGCCGTCGTCCGCCGACTTCTCGCGGCGCTTCTTGGAGGCCGGCGCGGTGTCCACGCCGTACGCCTTGTGGAAGTTGTGGATCTTGATGCTCACCGCCCGCATGATGGCTCCAGGCCGCCAACCCGGACGGTACTGCAGGAACAAAAGAGGCAGGGTCACTCAGATGTACCGCAATGTCAGGTCAGGGATGAAAAGAATCTCCACTTATGAAAGTGGAAATTATTTCAAACTCATCGATGGGAAAACAAATTTTGTAATCAAATCTTTGTTTTCCATGTGTATTTTTATATGTATTTTTTTAGAAATTCTAAGACAATTCACCGCCTTAAATTATCAATTATCCAACTTCATTACCGACCCGCATCTTTCAGGGATGGGGTTGGTCGGTGAATAATGGTGCCCCAGGATATCAATTTTGGAAATGTTGTTTACATTTACTTTAATTGTTCTGATATGTTTTTCTCGAAATATCCCCATTTTAATGTTTTTAACAAATATATTTTTTGTCGATTACAGCGTCATCTGAGAGCCAAAATGACTTTAATCGTAGGTAAAATTGGGGTAATTTTTTTCTGGGGAATCCAAATCTGCAAAAACATCCAACCCCAGGGACTGTGGGTAGGGGTGGTATTTCGATGGCTCCTGCCGAAACGAATAACTTTTATTATTTCCCAATTTTCTTTTATTTATCCGTTGTGTAGTTTTCGAGATGTTTCTTCGATAGATTAAAATGGCCCATCTCTCTCTCTCTCTCTCTCTCTCTCTCTCTCTCTCTCTCTCTCTCACTCTCTCTCTCTCTCTATCTCTATCTATCTATCTATCTATCTATCTATCTATCTATCTGTGAGCCGAGCCGAGCTATAGAACTTCAAAATGTTTACAAAAATTGATGTTGCCTCACGAAGACTAATCAGTTCTTTGGATGGAAACAACTGGATCATATACCTTACAGCCCAGACCCTGCACCTACTGTCTATCACATGTTTTGATATTTAAAGGATATTCTTGGTATTCAACGGTTCAGCGGTAACGAAAAAATGAGAACTCTAGTCAGGGATTGAGCTTCTTCACAGACGTCAAATTTTATTGACCTCGGAATTCCAAAACTTGTAAAACAGTGTAACAAATGTTTGGGCAAAAATGAAAAGTATGTAGAAATGATTATGCAAGTTTGTGTAAATGTGTATGGTAAAACAATAGGTATTAAATTTTGTAAAGTAGTAGTAAAAATATACAAGAGTGAGACGTTATCATCCCAAATGTTATGTGTAAAAAATAAAAATGTACAAACCCCTGAAAGGTTGAATTGTCGAACAGGAAGAAAATAAATTTAAAAAAAGAAAATTTTATAATTAAGGTCAGCTTAACACTGTATATCGTTCCAGCTGCTTCCTGGCGCATCTTCCAATATTTTAACACTACTACCTCTCTTTTGGTGCTCAGGATTCAGCGCGTAATATCATAGAGCCTCAGGGGTGGAAACTGGAATTCCAGAAATTTATTCAGTTGATCAATCGAGAAATAACTACTAAGCGACCACGGAAGAACTTTGCCAATCCCCACCGCCCATTGTAACATCGGCCCTAGCATGTGAAATATCGTAATAATAATAAGTAACCTTAAATTACCAAAACCAATAGAACCCCCGAACGGGAATTGAACCCGAAAACCCTGGTTTGCTCCTGGTTGTTCTGGCAATCAAAAATGATATAGCATTAAAAATTTAGATATTTTGAAGATATTATTCAAAATTTTCAAATAATCACATCCGTTTTACAATTCTAAAATTTATGTTTCTATTTTTTCATCGTAAGAGAGGTTTTGAGCTACTTAATCAATATTATAGTTTGAGAGAAAACGCCTCATTTTGACTTCTCAGTTTACGAAAACTATTCAGATATGAAATAACTTAATTCATCAATTATATTCCTTATATAATATTGAGAATATCTGCAACGAGTGAGTGCGTGAGCATTTACTGATTCCGGACGTGTCGACTGCATTCCTTTTGTATTATTTAATTCATTTTTGTGTTTAGGTTTTCAAACTGAACTTTTCATCAAGAAGGAAAATTGAGCTTACATTAAAACGGTGAACATACTGCACATGAGTGGCAGAAATGTGAAGTCAATGTTTCGATCGAGATTTTACGAACTGTTTAGACTAATGTTCCAAATCATTTTTTAACTAATCAATTGTATCTACACTCTTGGGTGTGTTCGATGCACTTACAGGTAAACCACATGCACTGGTATTCCACAGCCAACCCATGCGACTTGGCACACGGAACTGAACGTCCAGACAGCGTTTGTGGCCACGCCTGACTGTCGGGAACTGTGTGATTTTTGGAGGACAAGTGGGCAGAGGAAGTCTTTTGATGGGAGGCTTCTTGCACGTCTTCATGCGGTCAGGTTTCTTCAATAGTTCGTGCAGCTCCAACAAACTGTGCGCATAATGAAGGGAAATTTGTGATGCGAGACACGTATGTGTACGAGATAGATAAGAACGGTCGCAATTTTTGGTTTCAGCGCCCCTAAAATATTCCCATGTTTGGTTGAAACATTCCAAGTAGTTTTCCGATTTTTTTATTTATTGATTTGCAGAACTAGATTATCAAGTTAAGAAGACGAGATTATTATTATTATTATTATTATTATTATTATTATTATTATTTTTATTATTATTATTATTATTATTATTATTATTATTATTATTAATGATTATTAGCGAAGTATTTATTTCACTTTGGATTTAGTTTGTGCGTGTTATTTGATTTTTTAGATTTAAATGTTTTTTCGTTAATGTTTCTGGGAGATCAGTTTAAAACGAAACTCTTTATTCTCGGAAGGAAAAACTTAGTGCATTGGCATCTCTAAAATAGTGGGTCGTACGCTGGAGGTTTCCAGTAGGTAAACTGAACGGAAATAAATTTACGAGTACGAACCTCTCCCCAAAAGCTGCCCAGACGCGGAGCGGTGTAGAGCAATACCTTCTATTATTAAAAGATTAATATAAGGCCCAATATAACCGATTTTTTCGTTAATCGTATAAAATAATTAAAGAATTGCGATTAATCCTTAACTATCTGACGACTAAACAAATTAAATCCATAGATCTCGTAAACTGGGTAATCAGTTCCCCGAAATGAACTTTTTTCCGTGCAATGAACAATCAGATATAACCGTTGTGTAGAGATCCTAGCGACTCAGACATTACTACTTGAGTCGTTTGCTGCAGAAGAGTTCTCTACGGCGTTAGCGAAAAGAGCGTGGTCTAACTGCCCAAATTCTTTATTATTATTATTATTATTATTATTATTATTATTATTATTATTATTATTATTATTATTATTAGAATCTTCCATCGCGCGACGGCAGATAATATTTTGCCAGCACATATAAATGGTGCTGTTGAAAGATCACTTTTGAGAAAACAGTTTCTTTAACCCGCGAGAAGATTTTAATGTTCAAATTGTATTTTTGAAATGTGTGAGGAAGGTGCCTGAGTAATCGTATTAATATGTCGCTTTTATTACCGAATTTTAATCGTATTTGATAATCTTTACAATATAAAATATTAAGGATCATATGAAATTAGAACTAAATTTTTCCACAAACTTAAGTTCAATTTTGAATTTCTGGAGAAAAGTTTTAAGTTTTTCTTATATGCTTCATGGTTTTATAATGAAAATCGAAGAGTAGAATTACTAATTCAAAAATTATCATAAACATAATATTACACTCTGCATATGAATATTATGCTGTACCGGTACTTTATATTTGAAGTAGTCTTGAACAAACGGCCCTGAATGCTTGAGTGAAATACTCGAAAATGATACTCACGTCCAGTCGGGTCCGACATCATACGACATAAGAGGCTTGTACTCCAGTAAGTGAGTAGACTTTGGTGCTTTGGTGGCGGGAAGGGCTGGAAGTAAGTGAATGAAGTCGGGCGGTTCGTCGCTGATGTAGTAAGATGAGAGTTTCCCTGTGTTGTCATAGCGACAGGGCGGATGGTTGAAGGCTGACGATAAACATCCAGTGTTGTCGTAGCGCACCGGCGGATTCCTCAGCAGCTCGGGCAACGGGGGCAGAGCGCCTTCGAATGCCGGTGACAAACAGCTTGTGGTGTCGTAGCGCACTGGAGGGTGCGGAGGCCACATGTAACGGGCGAGATCCTAGGAAAGGGCAACACATATTGCCGTAAACAAATTTCAGTCGATTATAAATAGTGGTACAAACCAGTGAATTCAATAGTACCCATATTTAAAAATATACACAAAACGAGCTGACCCATGCGAACACTCCGCACTTTATAAATCACTAGCGGACCCGATAGTGCTTCGCTGTTACAGTGTACTACACTTCACACGCTACTGGTCATGTGGTTGTTAAACACGTTTTACACTACGCTCTGCAAAAACTTTAATAGATGAAAAGCTGACTCGCGAATATGGATTTGGTCTACACACTAGTTTGGACATGGTTGTCCAGTACCCTATTGTTAAAAGGTTTTCCCTTAAGTTTGGGCATGCGTTTGCTATGACACTGTCTTCAAGAAATTTGATTTACTTGTCTGAGATAACTTTCAAGTAATTTCGGATGTTAAAATTCTGGCCGATATTTTACAATCGCAGGGGCAGAATATGCAGCCTTCACGCGCTTCATACATAACGGTACGGCGGGTTGCCTAGCATTCAGGGAGCAATTTAGTAGACTGAACGAGTCTTCATTAACACGAGTCATCATCAACAACGCCCTGACAGGTCCGTTTTTTTTTTTTCAAACCGCTCTTCAAATACTTTTAATACTAATAAGAACAAAGTGTGAAAATCTCAGCGAAATCAGTTGGGGTAGAGTTTTTGCGACTATGTGAGACAAACATGCGCATATTCCCTTTTATTTTTATTTAGATTGTTTTAAGGGGAAAATCGCTTTGCAGTAGATATCAACATCTAACGGTCAGCCCGTGGATTGTGTGGTACAACATAATGGACTCGGTAGTGTGACTGCGCCCCATATATTTAATTTCAACTAAGCGTTTAAATTACATTTTCACAGAATATCAAATACGCCGTTTAATTTTATCGTCAAACATTATTTCTGTCTCTATTTCTTTAATTTAATTTCGCCTATTATACCTACATCATTCTCTTAAACGTCCTTTAGACTGTCAAGCAATAAAAGTTCATCAAAAATGATAGAGCTGTTTTGAGAAAAAAAGTGTTTCACAAAAAAAATTAACTAGTGGTTCCACAGAAAGGCATAGACTTTCTGTATTAGTTTTCTATTTCCTTTGCTCTCGGCTAGCTACTCGGACTTTCCACATACTCTTTCTAGCTGCCATCTATCGCCGTCCAAAGGACATTTTTTAAAAATATTTTCTTAATTTTTCGGTTTCCCAATTGTAGAGTGGAAATATTATTTTAAGAATATTAAGGAACAGTAGAATTTCGTCCTAAATCGCAATTTCCATTGAAAAATTTCGAGACGCTTTTTTTAAAAAACTGGCGTTTAAGCGCTACTGTAAGTTCGAAATTTGAAGCTTTTTCACAGAAAATGTTTGAGTTTGAAAAACTTAATTTAAAGTCATTTTAATTACTTCAACTCACAAATACAAAAGTGTTTATATATTGATGGAAATGTACATATCAACGGCATGAGTTACCTTTCAAAACATTTACATTAAAGTAATTTTTGAAAAAACAAAAAATATACCGACATAAACTTTACGTCATATAAAGAGTGCAATAACCACTATCCGTTCCAAATGTTTGAAGAAAAAAATTGTAAACATTTTTTAGAACATTGCGTTTGAACGTTTCTGAAAATACGTAATTTGGAGCTATTTTTCACAGAAATCGGTTGTCTTTTCGAGAAATATTATCTGACATTATTTAAAGCACATGAACTCTTCAATACAATAATGTGAACAAATTGCCGCTGATATCAATATTAACGACAAGAGAGTCAAAAAATTACGTTTTTGTAATTTTTGAAAACAGCAAACAAAAAAATAGAGCAATATGGCGTTTATGTTAAAAGAGTATGTAGAGAATGTATAAAGCAATATGGCCAAATGTTAAAAAATGTTTCTCAAACTCATAGTTTTGTCTTGAGCCATATGGACAGGGGTTTCTTCAATTTGGAAAAAATTCTCCGTGTGGTTCACAGACGGACAGACAGACGAACAGACGGACGTTTAAAAAAACACTTTTTCGGTAACAGGGGACCCCAACACGTGTATTTCCGTCGAAACCTCGAAATTGATCTTCTGCAGCATTAAATAACTTCCCATATACTAGGTATATTAGACTGTATATACGTACGTATACGGGGGGAAAGTAAAAATAGTATATTTTTCACCAAAATAACGCAAAAAATACTCAAATTTTTGAAACATTGTACATGACCTTATTTCAAAATCCATTTATAAGAAACCGATTTTATTTAGAGATAAATCTCTATCTTTAATATTTTAGTTGTAGGAAGACGCCGAAAAATATTTTGATTTTTTGTGCAATTTTCGGAAAATTAATGTTTTTAACCAACATGAGACCGAAAATGAAATTAAAATCGTTGGCGCCATTTTTTTAAAAAAAATTGAAAATGTCTCAGATGCTTCATGAAAAGTATTCCCTGAAATTAAAATATCGATTTCAAATGGAAGGGACCACATCAGCCAGAACTTTTGGGGAATATCGATTTTGGAGAAAACCGGCTTAGCAGGTTATCCGCTAGCGTTGTTCGCAGACGGACAAACAAATATTTTGCCATCAATCGACTTTAAGGTGTCAAGGACTCACAAAACATGAATTCTGGCTATACCACGTGTTAGAGGATTATTTTATTATATATAGCAACTGCATTTATCCACTTTTTCGCTACTAGGATCTGTAATAAGAGGTTTTTTTCCGAAAATTCGCCGTTTTTTCGCTCAGCATTACATAACTTTCTCTTCTTCAGAAGTTCTTTCTTAAGCGCAAGAAAGTAAAAATTAGAGTTGTTTCTTTTAGTTTTGAAAACTACCCAGGAGCTTCGCGAGAAGTACCTCCAAAATTATTTTCAAAATCGCATATGGCTTCAATTCGATTCATTGGATAATATTCATTTTGACAGAAGTCCTATGAATAGTCTTAACTTTTTTGTGTTGTTCATAGAGTAATGGACGATTTGAAAAAAAAAACAACACTTTTTCCGTTTCAGGGGAATCAAAAACGTATTTCCGTTGAAATATCGACATTGAATTTCCGCAGCATTACATAACTTTTCTCTACACTATGTATATCCTTACGTATACGAGGAAGTGACTGGAAGTTCTACAAAATGGCACAGACTTTCTCGTACAAGTTGTTTCCTGTTTTCTTGAATTGGGTTTTCTTGAATATTTTCATTAAAATAGTCTCCAAAATTAAAATATCTTAATGATTCCCGGAATTGCGTTACTAGATGTTTCTCCTGACGTATTTACCAAGTTTCAAATCAAAAGCTTCTAATTTAACAGTAATGTGTGACAGATCCAATTGTATAGACAAATCAATTTTCGGTACAAAATTGCATGTATATCCTCACCACCTCCATCAATCGTAACTCTTTTGGGAAGAGCACAAATATACCTTTTAATCCTGACGTGTTTGCGAAGTTACAGCTGAAAAGAATCTTAAACTCGGAATTCATGACCGATATATGATATAGATATTTGAGATACTATTGTTGAGGTAATTCCAATACTTATCTTCTCTATACTGTAGTATACTAGACTATAGTTTAGAGAGGAAAAGTAAAAAAAGAAGGAAAAGAAGGAATGATCTCCACCCTACGTCACATACAGTTTTTACTGTTTTTTGACTGAATAAATCTAAATCTAAGGGGGAAAAGGAAGGAGAAAAGAAAAAGAAGTGTTGAGAAACTAAGGTGTTAAAATTCTACTAGGTCCATAAGGCCTGCAAACTGGGACAGAAAAACGCAGATTCCAATTTGCGAATACGAAACTTATGTAAAAAGCATTCTGTTTCGCCTGAAAATTCTCGATAATTAGTTCTGCAGAGGAATCCGATAATACGTCGTGGAGGGACACTGTGACTTTGCAGCGACTCTATGCGACTTTCTAAGGCCCGGTTTCACCAACAGACGAGTAAAGTTGAGAGTAGTTACCCGAGAGTAACCATTTACTCTAAGATAGTAACTCTCGAGTAGAATATGAGCGTTTCACCATGCTTCTAGAGAGTTATTTTACTCTAGAGTACATACTCTCCGATTTACTCCGCAAATCAGCCGAACACACAATATTTGAGAGCGATTCAAGAGGCTGTGAGCGAGAATGACGCTGGGAGCCATTACGGACCAACGCGAACCTTTGATTAATTCCTTATATTCTATCGTTCATTTCAGTTTCGGAGTTCTTGGCGTTATAATCTGATGTGGTATTATGGTGGTTTGAGTTATCATAGTTTATTTCCTAGTTTCTGTATCTTTATTTCTTAATAAACATTCATTCTTCTTCTCTGGAGACGAGTTACTATTGTGTTAGCAATGCAGATAAATCAAATTTGCAGTTCGTTTACCGATGTGCAAATGAATTTTCTATAACTAGAGAACGAAAATGTTTAGTTTTTCAAATGTTGCTGATCTCGTGTTTTACTAAATTTTATTATCATTTGTTGTTTTATTTTTTATAACTTTTATTCACCTTTCAACTATTTGTAGTTAAAATGTTGGAAAGAGATTCTGGAACTCAAGAAAACGTGCGCAAATGATCTCCCCCATACGTCACATACAGTTTTTACTGAATAAATAAATGAATATTTCTTAGTACTTATAGTCCCTGTAGTTATTATTTTTCCTTTTGTTGTCGTATTCGATACGTACTACCTTTATTTCGTACCTACATGGGAGAAAAAGAACTTAAGAAGTTCTCTACAGTTTACAATGTATCTGATGAAGTTAAACAGCTGCTTTGGTCAAGCATAACCTCATGACAAAATCTCGATCGTCATAATTAAAACCAATCCATTCTCTCTCTCGCACCCTTTGTCTTCGCACTAGTGGATAATATTCCGAATCATTGCTGGAATCGTCTTCAAATACTATCATTCGTAATCGTCGAGCCGTAACAACACTTCGGAGGTACATGCACGTTGAAAACTGAATTTACTCCGTACTTTACCCGACGGACTTTCGCAGTGTAAAGTTACTCTCGAATTTACTCTCGTGTAAGCGATTTGCACTCGAGTAAAGTGTTGGTGAAACGCTCCAGAAGTTACTCTCGAGTAAACATGATTTACTCTAGAGTAAACTCTTACTCCTTGTTTGGTGAAACTAACGGCCCTAAGAGGTTATCCTGCAGTGTTCCCTTCCTTCGGTGAATTGAATCTATTTTGTAACTTACATGGTTTTTAATGCTCCAGTCTGATACATTCACAGTTATAAGGTAATTGGAACAATTAAAGAAAAATGTTATAAGTATCAAAAGGATATTTCATTTTAAATTGTATGTATTTATTTTTGTTACGGAAATATGAAATACTTTTTCAGTAGATAATTACTTTCCATATCCTTCGTATAGGCTGATAATGTACGATTTCTTAACTTCTGCGTGGTCAAAGCGGTGATAAACATTGATGTGCTCTCAGCAAACAAAACATTTTAAATGTTAATTGTTCAGTTATTATGGACAACATAACTAATATAACTAACTTATATAACTAAAATTTTGACTTACTATACTGGAGCATGAAAAATAACACACACACACACACACACACACACACATATATATATATATATATATATATATATATATATATATATATATATATATATGAAATATTCTCAAGTTTCGACTCACTATAAATAGAACCTTCTCGACTTTACAGAAGAAGATAATTTGTAAAGAAACTGCATTAACTGTGCATAAACTGCATAACTGTGCATAAGAAACTGTGCATAAACGCAGAAAAATGAGATTAGAAACATTTTTTATCTAATTGAGAAGGCTTTTTAAATTAAATTACGGACCATATTTGTGTGTGAAACACAGAGTTTATATTACCTGGTATGCACCCGTCAGAGAGCTGGTTGTGTCATAACGAATGGGTGGATGCGGAGGTGTTGCCGTGTATGTGTCCCAAGCCCCGGAAATGCAGCTTGTCGTGTCGTAACGAACAGGAGGATTGCGGATGATGATGGGTTCAAAGTAGAACAGGTCCTTTCCGAATGTGAACCACTCTCGTGGTTGAGGAGGTGCTTCATCCACTTTCTCAACTTCCTTAGACGGCTTCTCGCTAGTACTACCTTGGATGATTTCCGTAATTTCTTTCGAGTCTAAACTTTCCTCTGAAGGCAGCTCCTCCTCAGGTTCCAGCGTAGGTTCGTCGGTGCAACAGATTTCAGTATCTACCGCTTCCTTGCAACATTCAGTGCATGTCTGTTTAATCACCAGCGTAGTATCAGAGGGTTTTTCCACTTCGAAATGTGCAGCGGTGATATCAGCTGCACGGACATCCTCAGCCACGAAGATTTTCTCGCAGGGTCCCAACATTTGAGGCGGAAAGGCGACCTGACATCCACGGCAGTAAGGGTCCTCGGCCATCGGGCAGGTCTCTCCCGGTTTCGTTTCTCGGTGAACATCACATTCACAAAGATTAGCGAGGGCCTTCGGATTAAAGGGACACTGGGCGTAAGAACTGTCATGAACCTCCTCCACTTTGGTATCGTCCTCTTCGCAAAGAAGTGCCTTCATTGGCAACACGTCTTTAAACGGTGTGCACGGAACACTTATTCGACCTATACAACGTTTGCATGTAGACGCTGTATCTGCGCGACTGTTCTTGAATAGGAATGATTGGAACTCGTCCACCAGCTGAAATTGAGTCACAATAGATTGCCCAAAACACGAGAGTCTTACAAAAACGTGAACTCGTCCCGCATCCTTACCTCCGGGACCAGTGAGAGGAAAACTACCCAGCAAGTTAGTGTTAATGGGAAGTTCTTCGTCACAATAAGTAACTCTTCTCACCGCTTCTATCATTTCGCGTGACAACGGAACTCGTGCAACACCTAAGACTTTTGCCGGACTCGATTCATTTCTGCGTTGGTAAACAGTTACAGCGAGAGGGTACAGTTGAATTGCTCGAACCAGATCTAAAGGAGCCATGGGGAACAAGCATGATTTTCCACTGGAAAAGTTCTCTACAATAGTCAGTCCTTTCACGTTATCAATTTCCTTGCTAAAATATTCTTGCTCGATTTCGAAGCACGGAAAATTGATGAACTTTATGCGAATTCTCAGCGGCATTGATTCGTCGTAAGGAGGCCAGTTGCAAGTACATTTTGGAGAGTGATCACATTTATTACGCAAAGCGAGTTTGTCGATTACTACCTCCAGAAGAAAGAGTTGTTCCAGAAGTTTATCCGAATTCATGGCTGTGGCTTTTTTCTCTTAATTACAACAATTGCTTAATGCAATTTCTGCAAGAAAATTAAAAAAAAATAACTCACATACCAAATTCAAAATTAAGTACGAACTTGAATTTTGTCACCGAAGAAATTTTAGGTTTGACGGATAAATATTGGTTTCTTAGCACCGTTTTTATTTTGTTAATGTGTAGAATATTTCTGGGCTTAAGGTGGCTAAATTGTTACCGTTTACCACCCTGCGTAAACAAAACAGCATCGTTTGCGTGGTGCATGTAAAGCTGGGAAAAATGAACGTTGAATTATTGTTTCTTATTTCCCTGTTATAATTACTAATATTAATTATTTCTCTTAAATTGAAAAAAATATATGTAATATTTATAAACTTTAGCGTTAGGAAGAAATCGTTCTTTTTGTGTCAGTAAGTTTCAGAGATTTCATGGATTGAAGAGGTTATGTCAAACTCTGGCCTACTATAATAGTTACTTATTGTTTACCATTATAAGACAGTATTTAATTTCATTTTTCATGTGTGTTTGGGCAAAATTGATGGTTCTCTTTTCGATTCTAGTATATGAATTCAGGAGTACTCCCCTGAACATTATATATATATATATATATATGAAACATATTGTAAGCTGCTTTTAAAACAGTTTTTCAGAAAATTGTAAAATCATGACTTCAATCATTAAAGTCCATGCTATTTCGGGTGCAATGGATGAATCTCCACCGTGCTATATGCTACAAGTTGATGACTTTCGCATTCTCTTGGATTGTGGCTGGGATGAAAAATTTGATCAGGAATTCATGAAAGAATTGAAGAGGTGAGGAACTTTATAATATTTTAATTTTGAATCAAATATGTTATCTTCTTTAAATTGCCCTCTTTCTCTTTGTAGGCATGTCCATCAAATTGATGCTGTGCTTCTCTCATATCCTGACCCGCTACATCTTGGAGCGTTACCATATTTAGTAGGCAAATGTGGTCTTAATTGCCCAATATATGCTACAATACCTGTCTATAAAATGGGACAGATGTTTATGTATGACTTATACCAGGTAGAGGTTTATCTTAATTTTTCCAATCATGACAAAAATATATTTAACACGTTTAAATAATCAAATATTGATTTTTTAGTAATTAATTTTGTATGAATTAGTACTATTTTTTGCAGTTTTGACCTTTATAGTGAAGTTTCAACAGAAGGATAAGTAGAATAAAGTGTAAAGACATAATGAACTATTGCAGAATGCTTCATTTACATAGGATAATGAAAGGGTTTGAGCACCAATGAACATTGTCATTGATCATGGTTGCCAGAGGGCAGTATTATTATATGTAATACGATGAATGGTTTCAAATTTATCATTGTCCACGAGTCATGTAGCAAAGAGCACACTAAACCATATTTTGTTTGGAATTTTTCATGAAAAACTCCCTATATAATATTTTAAATTCAAGATCGTTTCTTTGTGAGTGTTTCAGATGCTATATTGATTACAGCTGTTTTGGTCTGTGAACAAATTATTTATCTGTTGCCCAAGCCATGCATGTCAAGTTAAATTAAAAAATTTTACTACACATAACCATGTTTTAATTTATGGTATTTATTTCAAAAAAGCAGTTATAATGAAATTGGCACTACAAAAGAATATAAAACAACAATCCAAATGACTTTTTTAAGTGTAATTGTAAGTAGGCCAAACGTCTTAAATAATCATAAAGTTTGGGCCAGGTTTATTCTCTATGTTTACTAATGATTTTTCAGAAGTCAAGAATAGAACGAAGTCATAGAACAAGATAAACAAGGATTTAGAAGTTAACATGGATGTAGATGCATGTTTCTGATATAACTCTTTTGTACTGGAGACTGTTCTACATGAAAGCTTTCAGTTTATTTTGAATTGTATATATTGAATTTAGTTGTCTTCTACAATGGCACTCTTTTAGAAGAGTGCAGTTCCAGTACGAAGAGCACGTAAATTTCTTTTTTGTCTACAGTCATAATTATGAATTCGATTTTAAAGTCACTGAGTTTTTCTTGCATTTTAACTTTATAAAGAGTATTCAAAATTTGATGAAAAAAACATCTGAATCTACCACGTGCAAAAGCAACTCGCAATCTACAATCTCTTAATAGTGTATTTCTTTACTCATTGATCATACTTAACTCAAAAATAGTGTGTTCTAGGGTCTTAAAAATGTTTTGAAAGATGTTGGCCTCAAGTTATGTCCCTCCACTAATTTACAGAATGAGATTTTTTGGAACTTTCTATTGCATTTTGGTATTCTGCTCTTGAGAGTCATGCAGAATCTTAGACTGTACTTGTAAATTTTTCCTGATGCACAAACTATAAGACAACCCCTGATTTTCAGGATAAGGAAACTAGAGAAAATACTTGCTTTGTATTTGTGTTAATGTGATAATTCTTCATCTTTTCATTTTAACAAACAGTAAATATTGAATTCACTGCAGAATATATTTTTATAATGGATGCACCTTTCACAAGAACGATTCAAGATATTTAAGATTTTTGTGTATTTGTGGATCGAAGGTACATATGTAATATCCAACTTTTTGTTTTGGTAAAACTTAAAATAGAGATTTCAAAGTCTGTTTTGAGAGGGAAGCGATTTGCAAATGGCACAAACGTAATGTTATCTTCAACTTACATGTATGAAGCACTACATGCATGATGTGATCACTTAGTTGCATGCTTGAGCTCATAGCTAAATTTATTTGAGGGGTTTAGAGCACAAGGGGTATAAGTGCATTTTTGGAAAATTTAGAAGTAGGAGTAGGAAAGTAAGGTAAAAACTCCATTTCATCTTGTAAAACAAATGGCATTCCAATAGCTCAAACGGTTATTGGGTTCTAGCCGTGGAAAGAAAATACCTTCCATAGCGGTTCCTATCGTCACTGAACTTTGAACTCGATTTTCTCAATACCACATTTCGGGCATTTAAATCCCTTGTGTTCTAATCAATTGTAGAAAACGCTTATCAAATAGTTCTTTATTCAGCCAATACTCAATTAAGCAACATATTGTTAAATGTTTAAGGTTTCATTATAACGATTAAGCTTGTTTCTTCATGATCTGAATCTTAAGCTTGTTTCTTCAAAACTTCTATGTTTTGATGTAGTACATAAATATATTTGTTTTTAGTTATTGTGGGCTTTCCTATTGGGTGAAGTATTTGGTATTTTTGCTATTGGTTGAATGTGGGAAATGGTTATTGTTTGCAGCAAAGGATGAATGTATCAGGGGTATGTAGGGATGAAATAATTGCAGTCATCATTGACAACTTAGATTTATTCAGAGAGCTGACTTTTAAAGGCTTTGTCAGAATTCAAGAGTATTTTGACAAGGGGAGGGAGTTGGAACAGGCATAAGAGTGTATGCCAAGGAGATCATGAAATGAAGGTAAAGGTAGTGGGATAGACCGGGATGATCGTGACGATGGAAAAGAGCTCAAACTTGTTGTATTAATGTAGAACAAATTTTCTGCTTCCCTATCTGATTTAGGTGGAGACCATGTTTAGATAAACAGTTTCCTGAGAGTCTGTCAATGTCAAGTAATGTGACTGGTGCTCTCCCATGTGATGTTTAAATGTTGGTTTACAATCTTAATCTTGTTGTCATGTCAGAGGAGTCACAATGCCAGTGGGTCTGGCAGCCTGTGGTATTTTTGATATATATTCTTTGAGCTTAAAATGACTGTGATTATTTATGAATCCTTAGGCATACACTCCTCCCCTCTTACACACACATACATCTACTGCACACAAGTACATACACTACACTGCCACACAGTTGTGAAACCAGTCGTAAGCTTTGAGGTTGTCTCAGCTGAGACAGTGCCCCCACTGGTGTAGATATCTGGAGAAGGGACACTAGGCAAGATCGTTGGTGCAAGTACTCATGTTCTGATGAGGGAGGAACACACCCATCTTTCACACTATAACATGTACTACTCTTACAGGACTAATGACCATATCAGCTGACACTCTTGGAGTCAAATGGTCAATAAAAGAAATTTAGTTCGTAATTGAAGATGGCTTTTTTCTGGATTGTGACATTGGTTGCTCTTGTCATTTTATTGCCAACATTAATGGTACAGAGATGTCATAGTGGCAAACTCGTGGTACTACTGGGTACAGGAGGGCTCCTTTGCTCATGGAGGCTCTCATTTACATTAACTGATGTGGAGAGAGGATTGTTGCATTAGAAGATAACAGATCAAATTCCATCATTGTTACCATGCATTCAGATGATATTAACCTGAATAACAACTCACTATCCTGAGTTAGAACATGCAAAAATCTCAAAAATGACATATTTTGAAGTATGATTCTATTGCCCTCTGACCTGCAATCCATCATCCTTAAAAAAGAAACAAACTGCAAAGCTTCCCAACAAAGCCTTGGTGAAGGATGGATCATCAAGGTGGAAACACATGTAGAAATTTTGAAAATCAGTACATGGAATGTTCTGGGAATTGCTACAAAAACTGAGGAGGTATTTGGAGAAATCAAAAAGTATGATATAGAGTAGGATTCACAGAAACTAAAATGAAGGGAATGGGTACGTCCACATTTATAGCGGGGTGTTAAGGAAGAGAGAGTTCGAAGTGGGGTTTCTAAAGCTATCAAAAATAGATATAAATAGAATATCACCAGCTGGGGACAAATGAGTGATAGAATTTTAAAGGTGCTAATTGAGCTTAAAAGTCATGTAGTTACTATTATGGTTCCATATGCACCAAATAATGATGCCGATATGGCAAATAAGGATGTAATTTATGTAGAATTGTTAAAATCATTGGAAAAGTAAGGGACTGAAAATAACTTTTATTAGTTGGTGACTCGCACTGGATGAAGAATTGCTGATCCTAGAGTAGGGTAGCATGGGGAAAATATAATAAATAATAATGGAGAGAAGTTGATAGAATTTGCCAACAGAATACTCTCAGAATAATGAATGATTGGTTCAAGCATAAACAGATACATCAGTATACATGGGTACAACCCACTCCGAATTTAAGATCTGTAATTGATTATATTACATTAAGAGAAAAACCAAAACTCTGGATAAAAGACAAGAGTATTGAGAAGCCCTGAATGTGGATCAGATCATCATTTACTGGTGTCCAGAATTTTCTTCTTTTCAAAGTTCAAAAAATGCTTGCAAAATTGAAGGTCGTAATAATATTTTAAAAATAAATAATAATTTGCAAAAAAAAGATGACTCTACTTGTTTTCTTTATAAAATGAGATTAGTCACAAAACTGTGACATTGTAGATGATTCTGCTAATAAAATGTATGAGGTGGTTAAGAAGAAGATACACAAATAATAAAAGAATTTTACAGCAAGTGTGTGAGTACAGTCAAAATAGGCAATAAAGTTTCTTCAGAATCCCTAGTTATGATGAGCCTTCGACAGGGATGTACTATGGCACCGAGACTTTTTCAGATGTATTTAGAGGAAGCCCTTGGAGAGTGGAAGAGGAAATGTAGTGGTATGGGCGTTCCAGTCGGTGGTGAAATTATATATATCCTACCCTGTGCCAATGATTAGGTCATCGTGGCTGGGAATATGGATGACTTGAGTTATATGCTTCATAAGTTGAAAGATGAATATGAAAAATGGGGTCTAAAGATTAATATGTCTAAAATGGAGTATCTGAAAGTGGAAGTTGACGAGCTGGAATATATAGAGACTGAAAAAAATAAAGGTTGTACAACTTTTAAATATTTAAGGGTCACTTAATCATCTTATGGTAAAAGCAGGGATGGCATTAATAATAAAATTGGATAAGGTAAAAGAGCAATATAGCAACTAAACACTATTCTGATGATAAAATAACCAAAAAAACATAGCATATTATTTACTCTTCAGTGGTTCAAAGTATTACACTATGGTGCAGAAGCATGGGAACTGAATAAAAGAGAACGAGTCAGACTTCTTGCAATTGAAATGGATTTTTGGAGGAGAAGCAGCGGCACTTCTGAACTGGAACACACATGGAATGAGAAGATAAGGGATATTACAGGTGTTAAAAGAAATATTATTAACAAAGTTGAAACCAAATGCCTCCTCTGGTATGGGCATCTAGAAAGAATGTAGGAGTTTAGATGGTCTACATTAATATGGAAATGAATTCCTCTCAAGAGACGAAGCTGGGCCCAAGATGTAAAAATTACAATGGCTGACTAATTATTGTTGTTGTTGTTATTATTATTATTATTATTATTATTATTATTATTATTATTATTATTATAGTGTATATTTGTGTCATCTCATAACAAAATTATTTTTCCAGTCACGCCATAACATGGAAGATTTTGATTTATTCACCTTAGATGATGTTGATGCTGCTTTTGATAAAATTGTCCAACTGAAGTATAATCAGAGTGTCCCTATGAAAGGTATGAATTATTATTTTTTCATTCCAACATGTAAAATAACATATTTAAATACTTTCTCCTCAGTAAGAGCATGATTTACGTGTGCATCAATTTCTGATTTTTTTATTCAATCAATAGGCAAAGGATATGGTCTTACTATCACTCCTTTACCTGCTGGTCATATGATCGGTGGCACAATATGGAAGATAGTGAAGGTTGGGGAGGAAGATATTGTGTATGCAATGGACTTCAATCACAAAAAAGAACGACATTTAAATGGATGTGAACTGGAACGCTTGCAAAGACCATCTTTAATGATTACTGATGCTTTTAACTCAGCTTATCAGCAAGCTCGAAGAAGAGCAAGAGATGAAAGGCTTATGAGTAAGTATTCTAAAATCTATTTTTTATTCGTCATGAAAATATGTAAATGAATATTATTAAAAGTAGAGTTTGTTCATGTAGTTTAGAAATTGAAGATAGACCCAATTTTCTTTCAGCAAATATTTTACAGACACTTCGTAGTGGAGGGAATGTACTTCTTACAGTTGACACTGCTGGTCGTGTCTTGGAATTAGCACACATGCTTGATCAGCTGTGGCGTAACAAGGATTCTGGTCTTTTAGCATATTCCCTGGCCTTGTTGAATAATGTCAGCTACAATGTAGTGGAGTTTGCAAAATCTCAGGTATTTTTCTTGTTTTAGTGTAGGGTTGATGGTTTTAGTAGCTCATGATTTAATGTCTGTTGCATTTCTGCAAATCACTTTGAGTGGATAAGGCAGAACACCAATAAATAATAAAAGAAAGAAACATAGAAAAAGAACTAATAAGCATGTCACAAAAAGTTTTAACTATAATGCTGCAGCAGTTACACCATGAATGACCAGTTGTAGTTGAAATATGTTCAAAAATTCAATATTAATTGCTTAGAAGAAGTAAATATTTACTTGACATACTGGAGTGCTATTTTGTGTCATTTCATTGTTTTCCAAAGAATTTCACATTTTGAATTTTCCACTTGTGACTTTTACAACAATGTTTGTGTTTTATGGTATATTTTGTTATGTGAGTGAACTTTCATTTTGTGCAACCACTTAAGTATTGCATCTCCAATGGCAATTTGAACAGTGTATATTGAAGTGTCCAATTCTTCTCAATAATCAGTACCAACCATTCATCTAAACTCCCAACTTAATTATCATCTATTTTACACAAGGAGCATTGGATCAAAACATATGAACTCCAAGAACAATATAATGTGATTTTAAATAGTTTTAAGTAACACAAGATTTATTATTCTCTAATGTGATCATTTCATTTTCTTCATTGTTTATTATTAAATATTCTTTGATTCAATGTTGATTTATATAAGGAGCAATGGATTGAAATGTATTAACTCCAAGAAAAATATAATGTGATTTTAAGGGGTCATGTCACAAGATTATCATTTTGTAATGTGCTGGTTACATTTTCTTCATTATTTAATATACAATGTTCTTTGATTCAACGTATCTTAAGTGCATGTTCAGAAATTTCAAAATAGATTGAGAATTCTCTTCAAACTGTGTTGAAATGAATAGTGGAGTTTGTATATTTTAAGATGCTTCCACACATATGTTATATAAACAATATTATGTGGTTTCAATTTTGTTTTTTTAGATTGAATGGATGAGTGACAAATTGATGAGAACATTTGAGGGAGCCAGAAATAATCCTTTTCAATTTAAGCATTTGCAACTCTGTCACAGTATTGCAGAACTGAGTCGGGTACACAGTCCAAAGGTAAACATCATGATCAATATTCCTTATTCCTATTGAATTACTTGTTACTCTCATAACAATGTTCCAAGCTATTATTTGGCATTGAACATAAAGTAATTCTCTTTTAACATAAAAAAGCATGAAGGCAGGGATTAAAGGCAAAGAGTTAACCAGGGTCTGTACTTCAAAATACAGATACTTTACTTTTGAACTTCAAAATACCAATTATGTAGTTTGTAGTCTTCATTATTACAATTATTACAGTCCATGTGTTCAAAGTTGTTTTCCTTGAATTATACTTTTTGTAGTATTATAGTTTGCTTTCTTTATAATCTCTAAAACTTTCTTTTATCAACATTTTACGTACTCCACCCTTGGGTGTCATTTCAACTCCAAAAAAGAAATCTGAATCATGAATTCATGAAATCTTTTCACTTGCTTGCTTTTATGAACTTTGTGTATATAGTATACACATACTTGCAGTGGAGAGTAGATTAATTCACACTGACATAACATGCTGTTTGACACTATTTCACATTTATTTATGTATTTAGTATATATGTTCAAAACTGTTGTATCTTTTCATGATTATGATGTGTATTTTTAAACATAATATACATGCTTTGTTGATTCTCTTGTTCAGACTTCTGGCATAATTTCTTGCTAATTTTAAATATTCAATTTATTGGAAGTGAATGAACTATTTTAGGTTGTGTTGGCTAGCACTCCTGATATGGAATGTGGATTTTCTCGAGAGCTGTTTTTACAATGGTGTTCAAATCCTTTAAATAGTATTATAATTACTAGTAGGTAGGTCACAGAATTAAAATCTTAAGGTTTGTTGGATTTTCATTGAAAGTAATCTGAAAGTTATGAGTTTTGTTGACATACTTTTGTCTAGGACATCTCCTGGAACTCTGGCTAGAGAATTGGTTGAAATGGGAGGAAATCGGACCATGACTTTAGAAGTGAAACGAAGAGTTCGTCTTGAGGGGGCTGAATTGGAGGATTATCTACGAAAAGAACGTGAAAACAAAGAGAACCGCCCTGAGAAAAGGTGAGTTATAGGCTTAAATATTTCAGATTTAGTGCAGTATTTTCACTAAATTGTTTAGGATTTTTGTTAACTTTATTCTGTTTTGGCTGATTGAAGAAATTGTATATCAATTAATATTAGAAATAGAAGTGAATTAATTCACAGCCTGAGAAGCTGAGGTCACTAAGGTAAATTCGGTATGGCTCTCAATCCTAAGGGTCTTGGGTTGTATCTAGGATAAAGATGTTTGTGTGTGCATTAAGTGATTGTATATTTATTCCCGTATCCCTAGTAGTTGAACTGGCTTAGGTGGCTCAGGGTATCAATTGATGTCACTGCACTGCCTTAGTCTGTGAGGTACTAGGGTTCAAATCCCAACGGTGGCAGGATTTTTGACACTGGCTTCATAGCCAGGTTGAATTCAGCTGCAGTCTGGCAGAGAATTCTAGCAGTTTTGTTCAGTAGTTTTCCATAGTTTCTCCACCAAGCAAATGCTGAAGCAGTACCCTACAAATGAGCCATGGATCCAGTGCAATCTTACCTTCTTCCTTACCTTCCCTCACCATTTTCTTATACACACTTTCACATACATCCACTACTCTACCACGCATGCCAGGAGACCAATTGGGAGCTTAGAGCTTGTTCTGACTGGGATGGTGCCCCACTGGTGGGAGATACTCAGTTGGGGAAAACCCTGCAAGCTGACGGGTAGTTTGACACCAGATCTCACCATCCAGCAGAAGAAGATCACTGCCACCTCCCAGGATAAAAAAACATGCACTGCACTTGCAGGACTACTGACCTTTGCAGTCGACATGCTCGGAATCAGTCATCAATCAATCAATTTAGTAGATAAGAGAAGAGCCTTTAGTCTTCCTCGGTTAAAAAGAAATGGAAGTTTGACTGAGATGGGCCTATAGGTTACCTGAGATCACCACACAAGGGACCAGTGAGCATGGGAACAGTTGAGCCAAGGGGTGCTAAATGGCAGGTTCCCTGAGGTTAGATGTGAATTAGTTAATTTTTAAAGAAATTAATATTGGAATTTTTTAATGAATTGATAGTCGTTTAAAAAATTAATTTTATTCATCATTGGCAAAATAAAATGATTTTATTCACCTAAACAATTCATGTATTTCTCACAAGCTATGGACATATGTTAATGATTCTTCCCTACAACTGCATATGTCTTATTCAGAACATTCTTACTTGTGGAAAGATCTTCATAAAACAAATCTAGATGAAAAAATAACAATATTCTTACAATAGCTGATTACGTGGCATAGCCCCCATATTTATTTCTCTTAATCTTCTATTAAGCAGCCTCCCCCTATCCAGCCTACCATGGTCATCCTGCTTACAACTCCCACCCCTCCCATCCAGCTTATTCCCCTCTATATGTTCCTCTTGCTCATAATATTACGTGCATACCTCCCTATCAGGCTACCTTGGCTGACCCGCCTGTACCTCCTGCCCTGCCCATCTGTCCTAATTTGCTGGATCACTTCTTTCTGGTCATCACACTTCATCCTTCTCCCGTATCTGGCATGCCATGGTCATCCTGTAAACACCTCCCATCCTACCCGTCTAGCCCCTTTCTCTCTATCTATTCCTCCCACACACCACACACTTCACACTTCTTTCCTCTTTCGCCCATGCCCATTCCTTCCACAAGACCTACTTCTTCGTTCACTTCTCTCTCCTTTTGCTTCTTCTGCTCCTCTTGCTCTTTCATCTTATTCTGCTTCACCCATTCCTTGCTATCTTTCCACTCCTAATGCTCCTTCCTCCCCTCTCGTTCTAACAGCTCTGCCCACTGCATCCAGTTCTGCTTGGCCCTGCCCTGCCTCACATGGCAACACCCAGCAACAGTGAAGCCCAGATGGATTGAGAAATGTTTTTCACTGAATATTAAAGAAAACATTTCAAGGTTTTGACAGTTTTCAATCGCAACCACACTATATTTCAATCTTGGACCCTGAAAAAGTATTCCCATAAAATTTGGGAGGAATCACTCCAAAGGTTCTAAAGCTTTTGGGGCACATACCAACATGCACACACTTTTATATAATAGGAGTTCAAAACTGAGTAATATGTGGGGAAATTGATCAACAAAAACAAATTGTTTTTAAAATTACCTCTCATAGAATCACGTATGGCCTTTATTCACTAGTTTTGGGGTTATCAAATTTGGCAATGATTCCATGTTTCCCCATTAAGCTGAGCTGGTACCAATAAATTTAAAAGGCTTGTGAGATTGTCTTTTTTAAATAAATTTAACTAATTGTTCATGCATTTGATAATCAAATTTTTATATCTTGGGCTTAAACTTGTTGCTTGTGCAAATAAATAAATAAGAAAATAGATCTTCTCTTTCATGGTTTATGCCATTTAAACTGTTCCTGCACTCATTTTTCTTCTCTGTCTACCAAAGTCCCTTCTTTCTTCTTTCTATAGTTCATAGCTATGAATGGAAGTTGGTTCCTTCGCATTCTTGATATATGATTGTACCATTTTAATTGTACCAGAAAAATAGGTAATAAATAAAAAATTAATTTAAACAGTTTTATTCTCAAAACCATATCTTCAGAACCATTGTGGATAACACTAAAATAAAAACCAAGTTGGTCCCAAGTGTACTGTTTATAATATATTTAATATATTTTATTAATATTAATTTCATGTTGATATATTCAGTACTTTTTGAGTTAATTCATACAGACAGACAGACAGATTGACATTGACAAATTGACTTGATATGAGATTCATTTTGGTAATCAAATAAGAAAATTGAAAAAGCATTTAAAAGCTGACAATTAAAAAAATTATAGATTTATTTATCTGCATTGATATGTTTTAATAATATTGTATTTTTAACAATACTGATACACCTTTAGAAATAAATACTTTTAATGACTTGAAAACTATAAATTAGGTATAAAAATACAATTTCTTTAATGCTGTTTTGTTTATTTAATTTATTTGCCATGTTCATCATTTTGATACACACCCTGACCTTCTCAAGGGTCATGTGAATAAAGAAGATTATCTATTTTCAAATTTTCTAATAATTTTGAAATTACTAATTCCATATTTTCATTTAACATGTGAGAACACAAGACAGTTGTGATCCATGAATAACAAAAACATAACTTAAAGAAGTTGGATTATATTTCATGAAGCCTAAAACTAGATTACAAAATTTGACCGACAAACTGTAGTGTACATTTGGTACTTGTATGTTTACACCAATTGGCAGCCTTAGGTGTTACTTACACTCATTTGACTAAAATATCTATAATAGTTGCCTCATTTAATTCTTACATCATTCACTTCATCATTTAAATACTACTCTGGGTTAAGAATCTTCTGGGTTGTACAAGATCAAATTAACTGTAATGGGCGTAATGCTTGAATCCCTGGTCCAGTCCATTAGAGCATCCATCTGGTCAAAATTGGGTGTCAATTTTTGGCCTGTAGTAGAAGAAATAAAATGACCATTTGAATCCAGCCTCTTAATTTCCGAAATATAGTGATTTTCATTAACCAAGATTTTGAGAAACAACCTACCAATTCAATTGCTTATGAGATTATATGTGCCAAAACCCATAAATAGGTAAATCAAGTATCCTAAAACACTATAGAATTATATTAAAAAAAAAAAATTGATGATACTTTTTTAAAAAAATATTTATAGTGATGATGCAGATATGAGTGATGAGTCAGAGGATGAAATGGATCTCAGTGCTGTTGCTAAAGGAAAACATGATTTACTAGTGAAGACTGAAACCAAAACACAGACAGGATTTTTTAAGAGTAGTAAGAAACAACATCCAATGTTCCCATTTTTTGAAGAAAAGGTTAAATTTGATGAATATGGAGAAATAATTAAGTAAGTAGATGCTTCTTGTTTGCACAAGTTGTTGTTGTTGTTGTTATTATTATTATTATTATTATTATTATTATTATTATTATTATTATTATTATTATTATTTTTCTTTCATTTTTTTTTTCAATGAAATTGTAAAATAATCTTATTGATAGACCTGAAGATTACAAAATGGTGGATACAAGTCCAGAGACAGAAGATAATAAAGAGAATTTGGATATTAAAGAAGAAGAAGCTGCTGGTATTCTATATGAACTATACACTATATGAACTGCTTTATTATTAGAATATTTATTATTCTTGTTAATTATGTATATTTTTTCTTTTCCAGATATCACAGAAGTGCCCACAAAATGTATTTCACTTGTAAAAACATTTCGTGTTGTAGCTCAAGTGCAATATATAGATTTTGAAGGTCGATCCGATGGAGAATCAGTGCAAAAAATATTGAGCCAATTGCGCCCACGGCGGCTTATATTAGTCCGTGGCAATTCAGAAAGTACAAATGTGTTGTTGAATTACTGTAAGCAGTGGAGTGGAGGTCGTGTCTTTGCTCCTAGTAAAGGAGAGATAGTTGATGCCACTACAGAAACTCATATATACCAGGTACAACTGTATTGTCTAAAATTTGATGTAGTCAATTTGGTTGGTATGGTTCACAAACCAAAGTTAGCCAATAAAATTCCAATAAGAGCATGTACAGTTTTGAAGGCACAATAATCCTTACCAATCTTTTCTTTAAAAGCAAAGTCAACACTATTTTTACTTTCTCATATATGTACGTATATATGAAGTAATATACATAGAATAGGGAATGTTATGCAATGCAGCGGAAAATCAATTTTGAGATTTCAACGAAAATACACATTTTGGGGTATCCTGATACCAAAAAAGTGTTGGTATTTTTTCTTCAAAATGTCCATCCATCCAATCTTTCATATGTGAACATCACTAGTGGCTGAGCCATGCATAGGATATTTCCAAATTGAAGAAATCTCTTTCCATCTGCCTCAAGTCAAAGCTTCGAGATTTTGCACATTCTTTAGAATTTGGGAGGGTACTTTACATAAAGCCCCTGACATTTACAAAAGTTTCTCAAAAATGGCTCTAAATTGATTCTTTAAATTTCTTTTAAGAATAGAGTTAAATATACTTATAAAGGTGGCATAGGTCCAATTTTCACGGTTAACTCTAAATTTTTGAAAATTTCAAAAGTTTGAATTATTTTGTGACGTCTTCCTTCAACTACAGAATTGAAGTTAGAGATTTTTCTTTCAAATGAAATTTCTTGTCAATAATTTATTCTTTTATTAAGGTCATGTAGATTTTTTTGAAAATTGTAGTACTTTTCGAGCAATATTTGCAATTTCTTAAAAAATTACAAAAACAAAATTTTCTTGAAAATGGCTTTAATTTTTTTATTTAAACTTTTGGTAGAGATAGGGCTAAATGCACTCTAAAAGATGACATAAACGCCATATTGCTCCATTTTGTGTTTTCAAAAATTACAAATATTTATTTTTTTCACTTGTCTCTCACATTGTTAATATTTGCATTAGCGGCAGTTTGTTCACATTATTATATTTACGAATACCTGTGCTTTAAATAATGTCTGATAAAGTTTCTCGAAAGTCAACAGGTTTTTGTAAAAAATTGCTGAAAATTCCGCATTTTCTGAAACCCTAAAACACCACTTTCTCAAAAATTGCTCCAAATTTTTTCTTCAAACTTTTCCAACAGATAATGCTAATTGCAATTCATAGTAATGCTTAAAAGCCATTTTCTTAAAAAGACTCCGAATTTTTCATTGAAAATTGTCATTTAGGATGAGGTTTTACTCTTTAATATTCTTAAAGTAATACAGTACTACTATTAGAAAACCGAAAAATTGAGAAATTTTTTTAAAATGTACTTTGGGTGGCGATAGATAGCAGCTGGCAAGAGTATTGGGCAAGTCAGAATAGACCAAAGAAAATAGACAACTAATACGAAAAAGTCTGTGCCATTCTGTTGTACCACTAGTCCATTTTATAAGGTTGCAGCACTACAGATTAATCTGGTGATGCTATAGAATGGCACAGAGTTTCTTGTGTTAGTTTTCTATTCTCTTAACTCTGTGTTTTGGCTTAGCCTGACCCTCTTCCCAGCTGTTATCAGTCAATGCCTAAAAGACCTACCATGGCCTCTCTGGATACTTTACCGTGAACATAGGTTTTTTTCTTCTAAGAAGTCTGCACTTCAAAATTAGATCTTAAATATATCAAGTACAATTTTTTGAAAATATTAGTGCAAATCATGAGTGAAATAGGAATAATTTCAAAAACAAGATTTTTTTTTTTTACCTTCTTCTGATTTTCCCAATATTCCATTTTGGGACTAACTAAGGGAAAGTAAGCATGTATTTTCATGTTCTATTACCTTCCCATAATAACATAACGAGATGATGAGCTTTACATGCCTTTTGTGAAGTATCCAGAAGTATGTTCAAGTATCATATGTTTCAAAAAAATATTTTGTTGGTGCAACAGTAAAATAAACTTTATCCTTCCTAGGTTCGTCTTACTGATGCATTAGTGTCATCATTGGACCTAAAAAAAGGGAAAGATGCTGAACTTGCTTGGCTTGATGCCCAAATATTTGTCAGAGATGCAAGTAAAGATGTGTGTCCTATAGATTCAGAAATGGATATAGATGGAGATCATAAATCACTTGATAATAAAGGTAATTTATGTATTAGTCCTCAGTTGCCATACTATACTTTTGAAAATAATGTGCAAATTTGAATATACATAGCAGCTCATATATCATTCAAGTAAAGTATACCTAGTAGTTTTATTACCCAATCTTTACATGAGTTCAGTACTCTCATATGGTATAAAAATTACCTCAAAAGCCAACATACCAACTCACCTCAAAAACCTCATCATAAACATGTTATTCCTACATTCAGCCATTCTGCAAATTCTCCAGACCCTGAAGACGATACATACATCTTCTTTGTTGTCTTTCTCTGCTTCTTATTGGAAACAACTTTTTTATGCTTTTTCTTTGAAGCCTTTTGGGATTCACTTTTACCTTATTCTTTTTACCTTATTCTTTGAATTATGATTCAACACTAGATTCTAAACGATTAGAACTATCAATACAAGATGTTCTGCTTCTGGTCTTTTCTAAGGTGTCTGTTATTTAGTTCAACATTATCAGATGATCTAACTACAGATTCTTGCTTTTCCTCTTTTTTATCTTCAGAGCCAAATGAAGTCATCAACTTTAGATTGTTGTGCAATTTTGTTTCTGGAAACTTCTTCAAGTAGTTCAGTTTTAAACTCAAATTGTCATGACTTTGTTCACTATTAGCAGAATTTCTTCTGTCTCTTCATTCTTGAGCAGGAGTGTCTGGTGTTCCTACGTGTCTCATTATACCTTTGATAAAACCTGTGATAAGGAATTTCCAAATCACCATCTATTGTTGAAGAGTCAAAACTAATAGCTTTTATGAATTCAGGCATAGAAAGTAAAAGTGTGTTAAGCCACACATTTTGCAAAATTGAATTTTTTATGAGAGTTTGTGATATATCGTTTTACAGAATGGTGTCGTCAATGTTCTTAATAAATTTCACCCCCATCCCACTTTTGTTTTGAGCGATAATATTCACTAAAATGAAAACTTAGGTTTCTGCTGTACTATAGTGAGCTATGCCAAGCATCATTTTCCTCTCTCCAATATTGTGCCAAGCTATAGTCATGTGATCATTGGTTTCAAACATGAATGGCACTGAAAGTGATTGTGTTCCGAGTAGCTGTGTGAAATCAAAGAAACGGAGGATTATCATACATATGTACAAGTAAACTTATCCCGGCAAAGCAGAAAGACTCTTATTCAACAGATGCTTCATGGGAAGAAGGGAAAGTGGATGTAAAATGTAGAGGAAGACCAAAAGAGGAGAGTTCAGCAAGCAACTAAAATATCTATTAAAAAATAATACTCTCTTCCCCCTTCTTCAACTGGTAAATGATTATTTTCATCGGGTGTATATAACTCATATGACCCATTGAACAGTTTTCAGCTGTATGACCAATTTCAATGCATTTAAAATAGTTCAGCCCTTTGTCTTGGTGTGCACACTCATTCTTTTCATATCTTTTAAATCCACAATTATAATAATGTTTATTGGCTTCATCATTCCCATTTGATTTCTTTTTATTATAACTGACTAAGATATATTTTTTGCTCATCTCTAGTTTGGCTCTTGTTTCCAATCTTCCCTGACTCTTGCTTCACCTTCATTCCGTCATAAGCTTCTAAGCATTTTTTTAACTCTTTCATCAATTTTGCAGTATGCAAAATTAGTTTATTATTCTCAAAATTGTATATGCCATGAATTATATATATTCCATCCTCCTCTGTGTTTCCTTGGATGGATATTTCCATCATGAAATAATGTATTTTCTTCCAATTTTGAGGTTGACATTTTCATCATTTAACTGAGAGTAGATAATTGCACTGCTCAGTTTAACAGTAGATTCCTAAATTAAATTTTCTTTAAAACTTCTCCACATTTTCATCTATTGTGTAGTTTTGAATTTTTTAACCATACCTTTCAGCATCAGTTTCATATGAACTATCTTTTGTAATTCATTCCACCATTAACAATTTGCTTATTTCTTCAAATTCCAAAATCCTTTGGCCTACTTTATGACCATCTTTGCCAGAAAAATATGTTGAACTATCTTCAGTATCATGAACTGCTAGCATTACCTCGTGTGATCCCTTTTCTTGCACACTTTGTCCTTCATCTTAAAAGTTTTTCCAATTTTGCGTGAGCTGCTGCACTTCCATGTGTGCTCTCCTCATTGGTATCTTGAATAAATTGCATTCTTTTCACTGTCTGTACAAATCATGAATGCCACTACTACTGGCTATCTTCATTTTGGGCATCAACATACATGCCTTCACTTTTTCTATCTTCTTTGTTGCTTATTCCTCTAGTTTTCTTCATCTTTTTGACGTCCCAGTAATATTCTTGCTATCTTCAGAAATTCTACAAGTTGCTGCTTTTTACTATTTGATTGTAACTTAATTTACTTTAATTCTGCTTTCAACTGAACTAATGTTAAATTACCCAGCTCAGTTATTTCATTTTACTAATTTTCTTGCATTGACATAGTCCATTAAAGAGATTACAACAATTACACTTTCTTTTCATTTGCTTACGCAATTAAACTAGATTTGTCAGCTTTTATGACTGAAATTCCCTCTTACTCACTTGTACAAACAATCTTAATCTATTTCCTTATTCTGCTTATGTATCCCAGATGAGCCCCCAAAGGTTGTAACTCGCACAATGTTCAAGTATAATGATTTATTGTCTGATCTTTACTTAAGTTGATTACTCTCATATGATATAAACAATTACTGTACATGCAACGTCAACTCTCCCCAACAATAGCATCATGTACATGTAATTCCTATGTACATGTATTACTCAACAAAAATATAACTAACGTGGCCAGATCAGCAGCACTGTTGCTAGCAAGGAGAATCGGTTGCTGGCTGTGTAATAAGACAAATAAGCAAATCTTGGTTTGTGATTTGATTCATTTTCATGTAGTCTTTTTCACTATCTGTAAATTTAATTAAATTGAAAACTATCCTCTGTGAGAGATTTTTCACTCT